GTGTGGCTAGGTGTCGATCATTGCGATCGGTTCCCCTTCCTCTCCCCCTTCCCTTCTCGCATCACTGTTCCCACTCCTGTTCCTGGATTCTGTGTGTCGTGAGCTCCCATCCCTTTCTATACCTGTGTCCATGTTCCGGTCTAGTCTGAACTGAGAAGCCGCACTGGGGTCATGGTAGCGGGGGGTGAGAAAGCCTCAGAGAACCAGAGAATGTAGTGTGTTTCATTGATGCCTTACTGCACCCTGGTGACTCATCCCTTCCCTGTGGCCGCTCTGCGGTCTCCTCTCTCTCTTGGAAAGGGCTTTTCACAGATGACTGGGCACTTGTCGTAGGCACTGCATCCTGAGGAGGCACTGAGGAGAGTGAGATGTGCTGAAGAGCCAGTGGCTGTCAACTGCCACACTGTCGGCCCCAAGTCATGGCGACTGAATGCACAGTGGCACCAAACACTGCGTTGTCCCATGACCAGCTATGATCCAGTCTTGCATGCGTGCGTTTTCAATTTTACTTATATTTTGATTCATCGGGAAGTCGTTACAAGAAAAAATCAGGGTCCCTCTGGAGTGTGCGGAACCCTTCAGAAGGAAAGCTGTGTGGAAAAAGCACCTCTTTACCACCCATTGTGTACGTCACCTTGACCCAAGCCCCCACAGGGCTGGACGCCCAATGAGGGGCCTTGCCTCATGCCATGGCTACCAGGTCAACCTCCTAACATGCAATTCTGCCCCCATTCCTCGGCGCCACCCCCTTCACTGGTTTCCCACCACCATAACTATAACTCTCCTGTCATGGAACCTGCCTGCTTTCCCAGACAGCCCCTCCCCACCTCCCAAACCCCTCCAAGCACTGTGATACAGGGAGCCCCAGGTTACAGACAAGATCTGTTCCTAAGCATGTCTTTAAGTCAAATGAATGCAGGCAAACTGAATAGGTTCATACGGTTCTTAATTCGTGAGAGTCATATGATTGTCTTAGTATACGGTACATCATTTACCTTTCCGGGAATATAAAACACTTCAGAAACACTTCTAAACACACAAAAACCTAAACACAGGAACACAAGAAATAAGAATACGTTAATAAAAATAACTACATATACTGCTATACTGAAGAATCTGTGTGTATACGTAACTTTTTTTTTAATTAAAGAAACTGTTTTTAAAACCATTTCCAAACTTCCCACCCACTGCTGCTGAGTGGATTCCGCTCCGAGCGGCCCACTAGGTGGAATCGAACTGTCCCCGTGGGTTTCCATGGCTGTAAATGCCGGACAAAAGCAGACTGCCAGGCTCATGTCTGTCTTTCTCAACAGGTGCCGTGCCGACCGTTTGGTTAGCATCAAGTGCTTCACCGCTGCCCCACTAGGGCTCCTTGAACAGCGGAGACAGAAGGAAGACAGAAAAAGATCATGAAGAAAGGTCACCACTTACTCTCTTCTACCTACATCGTGCAAACTAGACGGGCATTTGTGAGGTGCCATTATCATAAGCTGTGCTCATGTTAAAACCACTGGACTCCCTTTTGCAACAAGTTCCTCATCACCATCACCTCCACTTGCTACATAGCTTCTAAAGCACTGGGTTAGGCATTGGGCCTTTTCTTGCACTAAAGGTGAATAAGTGTATTGGGTTAACTTTGCCTACCCATATTATCGATCGCCTTCCCATGTCGATCTTTAAACTACTGTGTGACTGTCGCTTTCCTCCACGGGGAATCAGTGTTCTCACTTTATCCTCTACAACGGTTCGTAACCCTGACCGGCTGTCTCGGACGCTGTCCCATGGCAGGTGGCTTTTCACCCCTTGTTGACCGCTTTATGACTTCTGAGCGTGATGGTTTCGCTCTTCTTTGATGCACCAGCACAAGCATCAGATTCACGCCTTGACGTGTACATTCGGGCACACTGAAGCCAAATACAAAGCTACACCGTCAACACCATGTTAAAGGCAACGTAACCCAACTTAAATGGGTGGCCTCTCTCCCTCCTTGAGCCACTGAAGCCAAGCAATGCTTTCATGGGCATCACCATGCAGTACATGTGTGTGCCTTATTTCAAACCTCTGTATCTGACTAGACCACAAGCTTTATGGTAGTGTGTTCTTAAATTGAACATCCTTTGGCTGGGGGCTGACTGTAGGGCTCAGCAGAAGGGCCTTCCATAGGCCCTTCTCTTCAATTCCCCACGATGCCCTTCAGCCAGTCACCTCGTAGGTGCTCCCCAAGTGGGCTTCCACCTGGTCGAGGCCCCTGGTCGAGACACACTAGGTGGACTGCGTGTTAACTTTATAGGAGCACAGCCACCCACCTCCACCATTTTACAGGCACGTGACACGGCACCTTGCCGGTGAGCTGCAAAGTGGTCATTCTAACGGGGCAG